TTGGTGCAACGTCACCACCTCTCATGGGCCTTTAAGAAATATTGTAGCTAAGGTTAATGCTACACGAAGTATGACTGTATTATTGCTTGATAGGAACACAACACTTGGACTAACCGATTAGTTCATAAGAAAACGATTTATTAGAAAAATAGAGTTATTTAATCTATTGTTGCTTGTGCAAGTCAACACAAGATGGAGGTGAGTTATTTTTATTACTTTTACAAATAAGTATTCATCAGTTGTACTGAAAATTTGATAATCAATTATCTTAAATGTATTCCTCAAATTACCGTGTCGATATGCCGATGAATTGGATTCGATGAACTTTTTGATTTTGCAGATTTGTAGGTCTTGAACTCATGAAATAATTTATTTTGAACAATATGTTGAAGAGTGGTATCAGGGAACGTTTAGAGGATTGACAGGGGGGGGGGGGGGTAGTATACTTTGGAGATCATACAGCCATAATTTGATTTTCATCCGTGTGACATATTTAAAATGCCAATTATCAATGTTCCTTTTCCTAAATGTGTACTTGTGAAACATTTTGGAAGCTAAGTACAGGGTGGTCCAAAAATGGGACACTCGTATTTCAAAAATAAATATTGATTTTCCTGATGAAAGCATGTCATTTTATATACCAGTGGATAGGGAATTTACTTATCTTTAATTTGGTATATCATAAGTTCAAATGCATTATAATGGCCGTCAACCAGCGTCCATAATATAAATTATGTCATTTTAGTTTCAAAACGGGTTTTCAAAAACTTGCAAAAACCCAAGTTTTATTGTTAACTTTATTTACATATTAAACAAACGTTCAATATGTCCATCATTTGATCAATTATAGGCCACAATTCTTGCCTAAAGTGTTCAAAAGTATCATTGATATACAAAAAAGTTAGACAATTCAATTTTCTATAAATTTTTTTACTGAATAGGTATCCTGATTTCTGATTTGTAGTCCTGCGGAATGGAAGGAGGTGGTTTCCTTCTAGGATGTATGCTATGTCTTTATATTTTCTTTATCTATAGGTTATTTACTTTCAAAATCTGAACTGTGCCGACTTGGCACTGGTGGGCGAAATTTTTTACAGCATTGTATAGGTGGCGCCCCCTGTGAAATACCCCTTTAATTAAGGATTTTTTTAAAATGATCTTGAGCAGAGTCTTAAACTCAAATCACCTAATTTAACCTGTGGTATATCCTCAATAAGATGTCTATTTTTTTTCTTTACCTGAAATTTCATAATTATGGAGTAATGGTCATTTATCTACCCTGGCGTCACATATTTCCAAAGGGGTCACTATGTTTTAAAGGCATAAAATTTGAACGAAGCAAAATTGTGATCTGAAAATATTCAATTATATGCCATGATGCATGTTTGGCAAAGTGTAAAAAAAACAAACTTCTGTCTTATATAATTTAAGAGAAAAAAATTATTTGTTATTATATCCTATTGTTCACCGATATACAAGTTATATGAAAAGCCACATTCAAAAATTTCTTTTGACTAAATTTATCCTTAACACCAACATGGCTTTACTTTAAATAAAATATTATCTATATTTTATTGAATATAAAGGGACTATTTTAACACACACAAAAACTAAAATCAGGGATTGAGTACCTACTTGCTGTTCACAATTGCAGCGCCATCTTTTAAGGGGGAGGAAGGGTTAATTTTTTATGATACCGACATTCTGCCAATGACTGAATTGGTTTGAAAAAATGTTTCCATTTAAATTAGTACTAATCATTACTAAAATAATTTACCATTATTTGTCAAAGATATTGTAGCTAATTGAATGTCAGTTTTTGTTCAGTTATCAAGGGTCTCATTTCTGGTCTCTTTATCCAGTACTTCCTGAACAGCTTGCAGAACAATTTCATCATCAAGATCATCATCTTTTGTTTCATTGGTGACTGTGACCATTAGTCTGGTGTGTTCATTGCAACACTCTTCTCCGCCTTTGCAAAGGCAAAATATAGTGCAAGACAAGGCAGTCTTACGGCAAAGACAACGATCTGTACCACATATGTTATCATTGCTGGCACAATTACAATGTATCATCTTTAGCACTGAGTCTGGTGCGCATGAAACATTTGGTGGAAGGGTAACGGGCACTAACATGTTGTTGACAATATCCATTTGCCAGCCATACTCTGTTGGTTTCAACTTAGGAGGTAATGGTTTGTCTGCATGTTTCCACAGGGATGTTTGTAGATGAGCACGTTTTACATGTTCCTCAAAGGCCTTGTTTGAAGGTGGCAATGACCGTAGTTCTGGGGATTTAGTAATGTTCTTGGCAGCATTTTTCTTGGTCCACACTTCATATCTAACATCAGACATAGTTTCAGATGACTTTGGATTGATGCCATAACATGCTGCTATGAATTTAGTAGCCTGTGTCACTACATCTGATATTGGTATATTGTCTTCTCCAATCAGACTCAAAGGAGCATTTCCAGTCTTGATTATGTTAACTGCCTTAGTCTTGCCTATGCTGTAAAGACTGGATGTTGTGTCACAGCCTGTCAGGCTATGGGCAGCAAGAAGTTGTGAGGTGACATTTTTGTTGGAAGCTGACTCCTTCAATCTATTTACAGATGCTTTGATGTTAATAACATTTCTTCCAGCTAACACAGACTCCATAGTAACATGGGCAATTAGATGGTGTTTATCATAGTGGTGAAGCAACAGGATGAAGACATCAGTGTCGTCACATACAACATTGATATTTTTACTTCCAGTCTTGGTTGCAGCTAGCATCTGGTGCACCATAATGACATCTGCTTCCTCATGCTAATTTTTCAGGTCAACTCGTTGACTAACAACTCCCCGATAGATTTGCATAGGCACTGGGTCAGGGCCTGTTATCACCAGCTTGTTGGCATTCTCACGAATAGTGCTCGTAAGATGATTAATGATTAAGTTTATCAGCTGAACTTTGTTTTTTGTTACATTGAGCACAACATTCTGGGGAGGTAGTGGAGTGTTTGGTCCCAACTGGTATATACGTGTATTATTGGCGCTTCGGGCAGAGCGAGTACACCCCTTAGGACTATGCTCGTGGTACCTGTCAAACACCAGATACACATCTGCTGCATCATTCAGTTTCATCACATATTTTGTAAAGGCTGCACAGTAGCTACTGACAGTCCCTTGTACACTAGGCCATTGAATAGCCCATAAGATAGCACAACCATCTAAGATTTGGATCTCTGGTTTGTTTCCTCTTGCTGGCCTTTCAATTTTCAACATATTCTTCATAACAGACTTGTTTGTTGGTGTTTTCAGGTTACCAGATTCATCGAACATAGAGGTTGGGATGGGTGCCAGCTCAAATGACATTACAGTTTTCATATCAAGTTGCCGGGTCATTACTAGGCCACAAACACGAGAGTAAACAAGATTGGTGTCATAGACAGGTGTTTCATCTACTTGTATGCTCTTTTTCCCAACAGCCATGGTCACAACCTAAAAGATATGCACCCTTTATGGAATAAAAAGTAAATCTAAATCAATGAAATAGAGATAAGAGGTTGAATAGGTTATCTAAATAAGACTGATCTCTGAAAATTCAAAATTTTTCTAATCTCAAAAATTATGTATTACCTTTGAAGTCAGTGGTTCATAGAATCCCTCAGGCCAGGTGGCTTCATATTTCACCAAGCACTCTCTACCTAGGATCGCAGAGTCTTGAGCATTGACCTTGGCAGAGCTAATCCGTCCTGTAACTATGTTTATAACACCATCAGGATGACCACTAGGATCTAGAGGATCGATTACAGTACTCAGGGATTCTCTGAGCTTCAGTCTGTCACTGCAATCACCATCAACATGTGTAAGACCCTCTTCTTTGTGTCTGGTCACAACTGTGGATTGGGCCTTGACAGTTTCACCAAGGTCCTGGATATCGTTTAGGATCTGACTGCATATATGCATGCTGAGAGCCCATCTTTTGAGAAGAGTTGGACTGAGTGTGTTGCCTATAATTCCAGAGGGTCCATGCCCATACCTCATATATGTGGTTTCTATCATCATATCTGACCAGATTCCATTCCAAATACCAGGCTGATGACGGGTAACATGCTGTCCTTGTAGGAATTTCTCAACAACATTCTGTGGAAGTCTCTCCATGTCTCGAAGATAGAACAGTCCATACCTAGCGTAGTTGTAGTGTCGTGCAGCAAAGAAATAGGGTAGCATAGATTCAACAGCAGCCAAATGGAGCAGCCAGTTGCCTTCCCTTTCAGCCCTGACAAATTGCATCATGATGAATACTGGCTTGATAACATTCTCCACCCACAGTTTTGTAGTTTTGCTTTCTGATGATCTAGTGTTAAGGACATCTATGAGTTCTTGATAACTGTTAACCTGATGAATTACTGGTCTCAAAAGTTCTTCAACAAGGAGTCTCAATGCTCGAACATTGTTAGGATAATTCTTGCCTTTTAACATCTTGGTAACCCCAGCAAAGGAAGAACTGAGTATCTCTACTATTCCACTGTCTGACATTAGAATGCCGACACAACCAACAAAACTCATGAGCATGTGCATGCCCCCAAGTCTATTGATGAATGTATTATCAAAGGTTGTTGGGGTCCAGAAAATGACATCAGTGGCTACTTTGTACAACTGCTGGTCTGTTGTCAAAATTGTGTAATCTTGCTTACATGCTTGGGTCATCTCCTTTGCCTGATGCATGATGGTTAACATTGTGCTTGGGTCTGCTGGCTTAACATCAAGAAGTGGCCTATAGGCAAGTTTTGTTGCAGGTTTAATGATGGCGCCACTAGTCCTCGCTAACCTAGTATTGTAGCCCCCGAATTCTGGTGTCCCTGGTACAGATGTAACACGACTAAAGAATTCAAAGTCTATCTCTTGGACTCTATGAACATGATCAGTTTGTTGTTGTAATAGATCATTATTGAGAGGCTGTCGTTTGGCTAATTCTGGAGGCATCTTTGGTTTCTTTGGACCATCATATATGCGCTACTCAATGTCTGGTAGCTCTGGACTTCTAGAAGCTTGCTTTGTTAGCCTAGGGATAGTTAAGTCAAAGTCTTCATCATCATTTTCTACTTCATTACTGCTTCCATATTGGGTTATCAGCATTGCAATAGCATGTGTTGATTTAAGGCCATTTTGTGAACAAATGTTGGCATCGAAGTTGTCTGTCATGACTTGTACTAGACCATTTTCCTGATTAAACAAACCCTGTTTTCCAATACGTGATTCCTCAGATTGTGCTGCACTAGACTTAAATCTTAACATCTCATCATATGAACAGCAGGTGTGGTATTGATGCATTGTGTCAATCATATTTCTGTCTTTCAGTTTAACACCTAGGTCTACTAGTAGTGGAGTATACCTATTGGTCACAAGACTGGTAATCATATTGCCTATCATGATTGCTGGGAGGCATTCATAAGTTAGGCTCTTAGAAATCCTTGTTAACAACTTTATCAATGTTGGTGATACTGGCCTTGTTGCTATGTCTTTATTCATTCGAATGTTGTATTTTCCATTTTCAGGTTGACGATCTTTGCTCTCATTTTTTATCTTTGCAGCAATATTCCCTATGTAGACATCATCAGTTTCTTCAGCAGCATCTTTATCATCTACCAGCTTGATGAGCTTATTTGCACCAGATTTATGCACCATAATGCTTGCATAATTGTGGCAAGAAAGAACAACATGTGTTGAAGCCAGCATTGTTTTCAGGTTTAACATCATTCTTTTTCTTTTAATGTTTCCACCATATTCCAGGTACACATTATGGAGCTCTAATGAGTTCCAAATTTCATGCTGATGTTGATTCACATAGTCAGCCAACATGATTAATGCTTGGTCAGTTTCATCTGTTTTTTCAGATTTTAAATGGTCAATGTTTTTTTTATTGATGAATTTTTTGTAACAATCAAGGTGATAACGAGCTTCAACAGCATGTAAATCAGATACTGCTCCTTCAACACGTGTACGCACCTGTCGTGCAAGCTCATCACCCCGTTCATGACAAATTCTCAGGATATTGCTTTTGAAGCTTGCTTGGCCAATTTCTTTTCTATCACCAGTTCGGCAATAAACTATTTTTGATCCTCTGTTTGGATGCTTGGGATCTTCTTTACATAAGTTTCCGCAAAATAAGCAATTAAATTGGAAATGGAAAAGTTTTTCTGAATGCCTTGTCCGCTTAGGTGATGAGGGAGTAGCATTTAATGTCCCACTGTCTGATTTCCCTGAGTGTCGACGACAATGTTCTTTTGAAGTATAAGTCAAAATACAGGAATGATGGGCTCTTAGGGTCAAAGTTGGGTTTTCTAGCAATTTTTTCTCAAGCTGATCATGAATATCATCATCTCGTCGTTTGCTGTAATCTATTATAGTTCTAACACGTTTTGTTGTTATATTATTAGTCTCTTTTGCTGAACCGGGGCATGATAGGTGTGAGTTGTCAGCAAAGAAACAGGGATCCATCCTGGAATAATCAATCATCAATTGTTTTCACAATTAAATCTCATTGAAATCTAACTAGACTTAACAAAATCTTGTCATTTATTGCTAATTATGCTATTTTTTGACTTCCAAATCAAAGAGAGATATGTGTTACCTGATTATAATGGTATCCTTATTTCACTGTAGTAATCATTTCCTAATCTTCTTTCTTGACTTATCTAACTCATATATGCTTCTGATACTTGTACAAGAAACCGTAAAATACTGACCTAAAAGTACTGTACTCCAGATTTCATGTTTATGCTATCAGGAATCTACCCAAAAAATATCCATTGATCATTCTCTGATGTCACAAGCAAATAAACAATACTGGAGGTGAACTTGCTACACTGTTTACATTTTCCAATACATGGTCTAAAATCTAATCCTTACACAGAGGGGGAGAAACACCAGGGTTCAAAGATGACATACGCTTATAATGTAAATCTGTATTGAGATGACACGGTCGCTGATTGGTCAAAAGTCGACAAACAAATGACGTCATCAATGGTGGTTTCAAAATTTTCGAAATACGCTTCAAATAATATTATGTTCATTTCTGGCGTGTTAACCAATATCATAGCTTCTCATTTCACATCAAGATAGAGAAAGGTGTACGGAATATGCCTATATCAATTAAACATCCCATCGAAGTGTAGTATTTGATAACTAGCCGATGAAAATTCGAACGAACGAAGGTGGTAAGCAAGAGAGGTAACTATGTCTGTCATCTTGAAACTCTGGGGCTTTCCCTCCTCTTTCCTTACACAACAAAGATGACCTTCTGTTTGAACTGTCAACAATGAGTTTCTTTCACATTTTACACCCGTACCTCTACCCCCCCATCCCCATCCCCCCCATCCCCACCCCCTCCCCCTATTAAAGGGTATACATTATAATTTTCTGAAATATTTTGATTTAAAGAACATATGTATATAACATAAATAGCTTAGTAAGATACAATCACAGAATCTGCTGATATTATACTTTTTAATGTTTCACAGTGTTATTTTCCATCCATATTAATATTGCTGGATATAAGGTTGTCTATATCAATATTTTTTTTCTCTTCAACTAAATAAAATGCAACTCTCATATTTTCACACTTTCTCTAACATAGAGTAATTCAAAGTCATGAATAATTTCAGTTCACAATTTTGTTTAGTTTGCAAAATATGCTTATTAAACATAGTGACCCCTTAAAAATAGGTGGCGCTAGGGTAACAAATCAAGCATATCTCATTAATTATGTGATTTTATATAATGAAACATAATTGACATGTAGTTTAGGTTAAATATAGTTTATCTGAATTGGTTAAAGTTTTCAACTCTACCAACAGCCCTTTAAAAAAATTATTTTGTGGAATGGGCATATTATACGGGGGCGCCCCCTATACAATGCTGTAAAAAAGTTTGCCCGCCAGTGCCAGACCGGCACAGTTCTGATTTTGAAAGAAAATAACCTATAGATAAAAAAATACAAAGATATAGCATACATCCTGGAGGGCAACCAAAAGTTTCAATATGCCATTATTCCGCTGGACTATTGCCCCGAACTCACCATTTCCCATTGGTTTACATGGGAATGACGATTTTCGATTTTCAAAAATTCATCAAAATCATCAATTTTCGACCTATTGTAATTGAGGAAGAAAAGGAGAAAATCTGGAGGTATTGAAAATAAAGTCAAATTACGTTTCCATCAAAAGTATAAGTATTTTCACCACCGGTTAAGTAAATAAAAATTCAAGGTAAAGAGGCTTTAACACGTAGTTCAATGAGGGAGCAAAGGTTGCCAAACTTATGGGGGGGAGTGTGCAATGTAAGTTGTATATTACATAGTACTTTGGGATTTGATGGGAGTTAGACATCTTGGTCCTTTTGTTTCCGAAAACCCTCGTCTGAGCAGAAACATTCGATGTAAGAGTCTCCGAATATGTATCAATAGGGAGCCCCGTGGAGGTTTCCGGGTGAAAATATAATATAGCGCTGTAAGTTAAAGCTGAGCTTGATCGATCTGTGTTCGTGCAGCTAAGTTAATTAAAAGGAATCAAATGTTTACCAAACCCGACTCAGAGTGATTTAGAAGGTATTTTACAATAGAGGAGATTACTTCTTCAATCTAAAGCAGGAGAGCGCATTTTCTGACATGGAATTTCTTCATAATATGGAGTAAACGTACCTTCTTTAGTTCGTGATAATCATTCTTAGTGTTTTTTTTGTACAAAAATTCGATGAGACTACACGCTACTTCGAACTTTATTGGCCTTCATTATGACTTGATAATAATTGGGCAAATAACTCTGCGGAACTGGAAAGAACTATAGTTTTCACTTGGGAAAAGAGACCGAATATATACAAGTATAAAAAAGGTAGGTGTTTTGTAAAGATAATAATACATACATGTAACAACAAATATACCGGTAGAACACCTTTAACAAATTGAATCTAGAAGATCATCTATAAATTTATTATTTTCTTTTTTTCCTCAAGTGATTGAAATTTTCCGAATGGATACATATACCATATAACATAGTACTATTCCAGTTAAGTTCAAACTCTTTAAACACCATTGAGTCAATATACTCATATAGACAGGTTCCAATTTCAGAATATCTCAAGGGATAGGGTTTTTGAGGCATTTTTTAGAAAAAGCAACAGACCTATTTTTTCTGGATCAGTTTTTCATGCTGATAAAGATATTAAAAGATGACAGCTCAACGGGGTGGTCACGACACTGAATTTTAGCGTTTTTACCCCCCTGTGAAATTATTTTAGGGGGTAAGTTTTAAGTTCTACAGCATACATTGTTAGTACAGAGATGAATACTACCCTAAAGTTATAGATTGATATCTTTGTTGGTTTCGGAAAAATACAATTAATTAGAAAAAAATATGCAATTTTTGTCATTTTTTCTTGCTTATTTATATTTGTAGCTTCAAGCAAAATATGATAACTTAAACAGCTCAAAGTAGTATTCTAACAACATTCCCAAGCTATGTGTGATATTGTAATACATCTATTATAGTGATGAAGTACTATTTTGTAATTTTAATATGACTTTATAGTGCCCTACCCCTGGTAAATAGAAGAAAGTTGGTGTGGTTTTCTTCTGGTTTTAACATTTTATTGTCTTCTTAGTTGAAGATACAATCAATTCTGTCAGTTAACCATGAGTAGCTTTACAATGGTTAACTATTCCCATGAATAGAGGGTTGGGACCTCAAAAATACCAGAACTGTTAAGTGGCATCCTTGGGTAACCCTCTTCAGAGCATTTTCCTTATATAATCCGATAAAATCTGCAGGGACACTATAATAAACCTATATATCTAAGATACTAATGAAGATACTGAATTCAAATTTTCAGGATTTGGTCCTGGTATGATAGGTAATCTGTATGACAAAAATGACAAAAAGAAAAAACTCTGTTGCCATAGTAACAAGAATACGACACTATTTGTTTCCTAAGAAATGTGTTTTAAGGGGTTTTGTCATTCTCTTCATATTTTTAATTCTAAATATGTCTACAATGTGGGATGATTAAAATTATGGTAAAGTAATCTTTTCTATTGTTCTATTGTTCTCTAAAACAGAAGTTGCTATGGCGACACATAGATCATAGAAAAAATCCTGGGATGATCGCCCTATTTGTCAGGAAATTAAAATGGAAACTGAAAAATGAGTTTCTTCCTACTGAATAGCAATTTGGTAGACCAAGGCTGACACGCACAGGAGAAAACATCTATCAGTTCTATGTCATTTTGTTGTTATTTTTTTATTTATCGTGCTCTGGGACTTATAACACCTAATGCCGAATCCTTTCCAACTGCAAATGAAGCCAAGATTTTAATAATGAACATTCATATATCTCAACAAATATGGCATACGATTTGGACAATGATGATGAAACTCTGAGGGAAAATTAGACGAAACATTAATGTGAGTGGTCCAAAAATAACACTCACATGTTTTGAAAAAGTTATGCTCTCGGGTGAATCAGTGCTCATTTAAGGATAGTCTGAATCAGGTGAATTTTTTAACCTAATTGTACCCCTCCCCAAAACCCCCAAATTTTGACAATTGTCGAAAAGTGGCAAACAACAATTAAACAAACATCATTAAAATTAAATATGGCTATTTCGCTTCTATGTCATAAAGATATGGTACGATCTCAGGTCAATCAATAAATTTCACAAGTGACACTCTATCTTATGAAGAAAATATTATCGTATTTGAAGACATGTCAAAAATTTGGTGGAAATAATTTTGTCACTCCTGATTTGACCTGGAAAGGTTCAGGTAAGTTATCACAAACAATTTCAGACAGTTATATCTTTGATTATGACTATTTTCTGACCATGAAGTCAGGGTATACAGGGATAATAAAGTCAATCGGACTCGGAGATATTTCACTAGCAATCAACCCATCAATATATTTTTTCAAAGTTGTTGACCTCATTTTCACCAAAAATGCTATCATTTTATTAATGTTTAATGCATTACTTTTCTTTATTTTAATGTATCAAATAGCTCTTGAAAAGAAAACTGAATTCCCCTAAGATTAGTGTTCCCCATGTTATTTCCCCTTTGAAATAATTCATGCTATCCATTGGTTTCAGTTCATTTTGGTCATCCAAATTCAGTGTCCTTAAAGTCCCAGGAGCAATCCACTTTTCCTCTTAGGAAATAGAACATGTCTCAAAGCATATTCTAATTATGCATTCAACAATATAATTAAAGGTTGCATCTTTGGTGAAAATTAGGTCACCATTTTTAGTAAAAAGTATGTTGATTGGGCCATTCCCTTTAATATCACTTAGGTCTGATTAATCATTATATTTACTTTTCTTTTAAGATAATGAATAGATCTAAAAGATATACCCATGTTCATGGTCAGAAAATATTCATAATTCAAGTTAGAATTGTCTGAAGTTGTTTGCGATAACCTACATGCTCCTTTATAACATTATTATGTAAATACAGTAGAACCTGTGTAAGTGGAACACTCCATTCTGCCACAAAGCGTTCCACTTAGAAGGTGTTCCACTTACGGAGGCTTTGGGTTCGCAGGGAACATACAAGATCAAATATAGGATTTATATGTATCATTGGAAATATGATTCTCCCTTCATTACAGGGCAGGTATATACCATTAATAATCCATTTATTTTACTCAAAAAGGTATCTGACATTCTTAATCCTCCTCATTCTGCCAAAAATGTTTTCTGACATTCTTAATCCTCCTAATTGTGCCAGTCTCAGGTACAAGGATTAGGCAATTAAGTTTTAAAGACTTGTTCCTACTGCTAATAATTCAATTGTTTTTAAATGACATTTTTAATCTTACTTATTAAGTTTGAAACAAACAGCAAGGGATATTAATTAGTGGTAGCATCACGTGTCCAGTTCTACAGGAGGTTAATCCAATTTTCTGAATGAAAATCTTATGAAATCCTAATTTGCTGATTATCAAATTAATTGTTGGTTGCATCACATGTTGACCTCTACAGGAGGTTAATCCATTAAAATCCTAATTTGCCAATTATCACAGTATTACTTGTTTTCATACCCAGATATCATTGAGGGAGATTAATTCTGTTTACAAATATCAATATTGAAATCTATGGAAATTGACTGTTCCACTTAGCAGGTTAATTTTTCAATATGGGGTGTTCACTGTTCAAGTTTGGAGGTGTTCCACTTACAGAGGTTCAATTAACATTAAGTCAATGGGTTTTTAAAACGGGACTTTGAAAAGGCGTTCCACTTGGGAGGTGTTCCACTTACAGAGGTGTTCCACTTAGCAGGTTCTACTTTACATTACTTGTGCATGATGACCACCATAGTCTAGTTGCTCAAATGAGATCAATTGATGATTATAATGTTTAGACTTTATGTCAATGTCAACCTCTCTAGTATGTGATTACACTAGATTTCATTATGATACTGCATGTACTTAATTGAAAACTTACATATAAAATATCTTAAGTCCTATATTCTAGTAATAAATGAATTAGGATGTCACCTAACATTTGATGATGGTATGAATTTATTGATTTGGTGTCTATCAATACATGTTTCTAACTTAATGCTGCAAAATGATAAAATTCACCACATTCACTTTCTTCAATTTTCCAGGGGTAGGGCACTATAAAGTCATATTAAAATTACAAAATAGTACTTCATAACTAAAATAGATGTATTACAATACCACACATAGCTTGGAAATGTTTTTAAAATACTACTTTGAGCTGTTAAAGCTCTCATATTGTGCTTGAAGCTACAAATATAAAATTGGCAAGACAAAAATTGCGTATCTTTTTCCTGTTTTTTATATTTTTCTGAGACCAATAGGGGTATCAACCCATAACTTTAGGATAGTATTCATATTTGTACTAGCAATGTATGGTGTACAACTCAGAACAATAGCTCATATATCCTTTGAGTTATGAACTAGTTTCATAGTACCCCCTAGAATATTTTTCTAGGGGGGTAAAAATGCCAAAATTTAGTGTCGTGACCACCCCGTTGAGCTGTCATCTTTTAATATCTTTATCAGCATGAAAAACTGATCTAGTAAAAATAGGTCTGTTGCTTTTTCTAAAAAATGCCTCAAAAACTTGAATTATTTGAATTGGAACCTGTCTAATATAGCTTTAGGAACTTTAGGGATTTTCACCATCGAGTGCATATTCATATAAATGTTCTAATTCAAAATATTCGTCCTGCCGTGAAATCAATATATCAACATGGCTCGGAATCTGGCAGTTGCTACACATAGATATACAAACATGAAACATAATACCTACAAATCTTAAAATATAAAGAGGTACTAAAATTGTTCTGCTGTGTATTGACTGTGATTCTTATCAAATGAATCAGATAGATCAATATATACTTTACATACTTTTGCTAATATATAGAACGAAATTATTATATTTTATTTTCCCAACATATTGTTATGACTGGATTTAGATAATTGTTAAATCTTCAATCAGAGAGGGCGATTTGCATTGGATTCTGGATTGTTTCTTTTTTATGTCGTTTCGGATGTATCCAAATGATACAAAGGCCTTTAATTTTTCTTCGATTAAACGGAATATGGTTGATCTTTAAGGTCTATTTTGTGATAAAAAATTGTATTAAAATGATAATACATTTAGTTAGGAATGTTACATAAATCATGTTATAATGTCGCTCTAACACCCCAGTCACATTTGTCGTACGACGGCCGTACCGCAGATCAAATCAGTGAATTTCTGCGGCGAGCGTAGGAAAACTACGCTCGCCTTGCGGTCTCCGCACGTCTTATCAAGTTTTATACAGGCCGCAGAGTAGCCGTAGAAATTATAACTCGGAGTTATAATATT